TGTGTACGTCAAACTCCACTTGCCATCTGTGCCCCCGTCATCAAATCAGTGAAATGTTGCTTCAGAGATGGCGAAGCCCGTGCAACCAGCAGTTCTGCCCGAAAACGGGCGAGGCGAGCAGCCCGATGAACGGGACAATGAAATCGTCATCGAGCTGGACCGAGAAAATCAGTACGGTCGTACGCAGCCACGAGCTAACGAGCCTCAAGGTAATCATTTGCGCAATATCCAGATGGTCCACCCACATCTCGTGTCACGACACATTTTTTTTTTTTTTTTTTTTTTTTTTTCGTTCGTTCGTTTCTTTTGTTCATTAGTCTCGATCACTCGCGAACATACACACATACGTACGGCGCATACATACTCGGTCCATTTGCCACCTTGCTTTCAATCCATTGCCATCCGCAGATATACATATACATATATATACCGAAGGCACTCCAGTTTTTCTAGCCAAATTTTTGGTACGTATATTCTCCGCTGCAGCGACGAAGATAAAAATGTTATATAAATATAGATCGTCCGGGAAGTTTGTCGAGAACCTCGAAATGAAAATACGAAACGATAAAAAGAACGATAGAGTTTTTTCCTTTTTTTTTTTTTTTTTTTTTTTCACGTGGGTTATCGTGATAGCGACACCGGCAACGTGCAAATTACTCGTCCTTGTTTCCGAACTAGCTGGCGAGTTTTATAGAGAAATTCCTGCCGGCTTTTCCCATCGAACGCAAGTATTTAGAAATAATCGAGATGTAAAATGCAGATGTATTTGCGACGCGCGTGAAAGTGAAATTGACGATGTCCATTGAGTGATTTACAGCAGGAAGGAGACAGTTTTCTCTCTACTTTTTACATATTTTTACACGTATCCTGTTTCATTTAAAAAAGAGAAAAAAAGAATGTGACTTTCCACTTGGTGTGAAGAGTGAATTAGCTCTTGGTATTTAATTTTTAATTACTTCTTTTTATCGATTTATTAAAATTACGAAAAATTAAGCTGCTTATTGCAGCGGCTGCTTCAATTAGATTCACAAATACAGAAAATGTTTTAAAATACTTTCGAATACTTGCGTTTGATGAAGAATCTTTTTGCCAGAGGTAATAATCGCATCTAGCATAGCATTTTTATAACTTCTTAGTAAAGCCTGAAACAACACACATTTATATAACATTTGTTTCTTCATTTATGTCAGTAGACTGCACGCACAAAATTTGATCAACGAAAACTCGAATACTCTGTGTAAGTGCAGTAAAATCACGATGGTGATTCTGCATGCAAAAATGAGCCGCAAAAGAAAAAGTAATATTATTTTCTCGTTTAAGACTTCGTTTTTTAAGAAATTTGTCAACTAATACTTTCATCTGACTAATCCTGGATTGGACAGAGACGAATAATCAAGAGATTATTATTAACGTACGGGAAATAAGTGAAAATTGTAGAATAAAATTTTTTCCGTTTGAGACTTCATTTTTAAAAGAAAAAGCAAAGTTTAATAATATTTATTTAAGGATTAGTGTAGTAAATCTATCACTTGGGGAAATTTTCACATTTAATCTTCTCCAAGGCGTTGTATTCCACGCTTTCGTTGTTTTATTTTCGTAGGTAGAACCTTGTTCATTATTTGTTGATTCATTCTTGAATGATTAGCTAAATTTAATGGAACGATGAAAACTACGGCTGCAGAAAGTTTTTAATTCTCAAAAACGATCCGGAAAGATGTTACTTTTTCTTTTCCACTTGCCTTCGCATGCGGAGTCCCAGCGATTCGTGCCATGATTTCGGGAACCACGCACAAACATACTACTTCAGAATCATTTTTTCCCACCATACATTACGCACACACGTAAACGATCGAAGCTGGTTTCTCTCATTCGTCATTTTCGTTAACACTGTTGCGGCTCTCCTCTGCGTCTATATATGTATGTGTATGTTTCACGTATACAGTGTGTCCTAACTTTGTGCACCATACTCACCTCTGCTGTGTCTGTAACTAGTTGCACCGATCATTCGCGTTCCTGCCGCCGGCTCTTGTTAAAAAAGTGCATACAGCCAAATAGAGAGAAAAGAAACCCACGTGGAAAAAAAAAAAAAAA